GGCGTTACCCAACCCTCCTGCCCTGGGATAAACCTTGGGATAAACCTCAGGGCAGCGGCTGCCAGAAGATGCGCTGAGCCAGGAGTCTTGGTTTGCTCCAGCCTTGCCTCCCAAAGCACCTTCTGCCTTTGTAGAGCATCAGCGTTGGCTCTCCGGAGCCATACAGCCCGAGTTCGTGGTGTGGCGATGAGAATATTTTTTGCCGAGCCAAAGTACGCTTTCAGTTGCACCGTAGCGTTTTGGAATGATGGTGCTGGTGGTGATGGAGCCAAGTCTGCAGCTACGCTGAGGATGAAGGCTGGGCTTGGGTGTTTGTCCTTCCACCTCAGAGCTTGGGAGGGATTTGGAAATGGCCGAGGGAGAGGTTGCGTTCGGAGAGGGACGGGCAGCTCTCGGTTTCATTCAGACGGTAAAGATCAGGAGTGCTTCCTTTTTCCTTTTACAGGGGTTGAAGAAAACTTTCTGTGCTGTCCAAAGGGTGCCTGAGTATTTCTTCAGGCACAGCACAAGGCACAGCGTTGGGCCATGGGGTGGGAAGCGGGGTGCTGCGTGGGTCGTGGCTTTTTCGCTGAAGACTTTAAGCAACATTAAAAATTCAGCAGGGATGGGTGATTTATATTCCAAGAACGATCCCGCTGTGCTGCTTGCAAGGTGTATCAGTATGCAAAATACAGCTCCGGCTCCTCGTTCCTGTGTGCCCTTTGGGCCTGTAAATAGGTTTTATGTCGGGGTGTGTGTCTAGAGGTGGGTTATTGGAGTTGGATGGGGGTTGAATGTTTTCTGTACAGAGGGTGGTGGTCCCCCAGCAAGTGGAAACCTGTGTGATGCTGGTCCTCAATCGTCTTTACGAAGAGTACTGCCGGGAGTCAGATGTAGGGGTACATGATACTGGCTACTCTTCAGGCTCCCGCCAGCTGTGGCAGAGCATCCGACAGACAGTTTCCTAAATCCCGAGGTCTTTTCCATACGTTTCAGCGTAGCTGGTGGAGGGGGTACGGCTGTCACTCGGCAGCTGCGTGGTGCTTGGAGCCCGCTGCGGTAGCACCGTCGTGGTGCGGGGAGGGGGACCTCCCTGCAGGGAAGGGCTGTTTGCCCACGGTGAAGCAGCTCCAGGGCTGTATCCCTCGCTGCTACCTTGTACGGAGCGTATTTGCTCACAAGCGTTACCTTTCAAGCCCGCGGATGAAAGTTGCATCATCTGACTTACTCTTTTTGCAGTCTTAATTTTTTTCCAAGCCCGACACTCGGTTGCTGCGATACAGTCCAGAATGCAGCTCAAAGAGAAACCTCTTTCTACTGCTGCAGCTGCAAAGATCCCACGGGCTTCTGCTCGGTCTGTGTTTTGAAACAATACCCGTGGAAAAAGCGCGGTTTGCTGAAATTTGGGGGTTTGCACGCGCTAGTGCTGCTCGTGGGTGCTCTGTACAGCTCGGGAGCCACAGCCCAGGTCTAAACTTAACCTTGACGGCGGGATGAAGATAGTTCCTTTACCTGATTGCAAACGAGGGAATAAATTTCTTAGAATAATTAATGGTCCCCAAAGAATATCTTTTTGTTAGCACGTGTGTGTGTGAGAGCCTCCAGTCTATAAATACACAGTAGTTTCCTCCTCGGAGTCAATAGGGAGCCCATCCCGGGTCTGCAGAAGCGTTTTTTTGTCCCACAGCGTTTGTTTGCATCGAGAGGACATGACGGGGCAGGACCGTGCTGGGTCACGCCGTGCGTCAGGAGCCCGGTGAAGCAGGATGGGGAGCCAAAGATCACATTTCACTGGAAAGTTTTCCTTTTTATGACAGTTTCTGGATGGGGATGATTTCAAAACCCCAACCAAGCGGTAGTTCAAAGAGCTCAGACCTAAAAGTGCACCTCGGACCTGACGTCGGGTGGTGTTAACTGCCAGGTTACCGGCGGTTTGCTGCGTTATCGTTAGGGTTGTGTTAATTGCAAGAGATGCAGCGGAGCGGGGAGAAGGGAGGTGCGAGGCGGT